TATCTCAAAAACTAAATCTTATTTTAAGAAACGGTCTTTTTCATTGAAAAGCTTATAATCCGTTTTATAATTGGTGATAATTTCATAATGATTTAATAAAAAATGTATTTTTGACGATTTTTTTAAAAAGATTGTTAAACGTAAAAATTGAAATAATGTAACGTCACCTTTAACAATTTTTATCTCAAATACTAATTGATATTTTCAAAAGCGATCTTTTTTATTAAAAAGCTGATACTTTTTTGTATATTTCCTGAAAATTTCATAACGATATCTTTAAAAATCGATTTTTTACGATTTTTTAAAAAGTAATCGAGAAATATCTTCATCTCAACACGTTCAAAAAACATGACAAATTTTAAAAATTGTTATCTCAAAAACTAAATCTTATTTTAAGAAACGGTCTTTTTCATTGAAAAGCTGATAATCCGTTTTATAATTGGTGATAATTTCATAACGATTTATTAAAAAATGTATTTTTGACGATTTTTTAAAAAAGATTGTTAATCGTAAAAATTTAAATAATGTAACGTCACCTTTAACAATTTTTATCTCAAATACTAATTGATATTTTCAAAAGCGGTGTTTTTCATTAAAAAGCTGACACTTTTTTGTATATTTCCTGAAAATTTCATAACGATATCTTTAAAAATCGATTTATTACGATTTTTTAAAAAGTAATCGAAAAGTATCTTAATCTCAACAAGTTCAAAAAACATGACAGATTTTAAAAATTGTTATCTCAAAAACTAAATCTTATTTTAAGAAACGGTCTTTTTCATTGAAAAGCTGATAATCCGTTTTATAATTGGTGATAATTTCATAACGATTTATTAAAAAATGTATTTTTGACGATTTTTTGAAAAAGATTATTAAACGTAAAAATTGAAATAATGTAACGTCACCTTTAACAATTTTTATCTCAAATACTAATTGATATTTTCAAAAGCGGTCTTTTTCATCAAAAAGCTGATACTTTTTTGTATATTTCCTGAAAATTTCATAACGATATCTTTAAAAATCGATTTTTTACGATTTTTTAAAAAGTAATTGAGAAATATCTTCATCTCAACACGTTCAAAAAACATGACAGATTTTAAAAATTGTTATCTCAAAAACTAAATCTTATTTTAAGAAACGGTTTTTTTCATTGAAAAGCTTATAATCCGTTTTATAATTGGTGATAATTTCATAATGATTTATTACAAAATGTATTTTTGACGATTTTTTGAAAAAATTTGTTAAAAACAAAAATTGATAAATGTAACGTCACTTTTAACAATTTTTATCTCAAATACTAATTGATATTTTCAAAATCGGTCTTTTTCATTAAAAAGCTGATACTTTTTTGTATATTTCCTGAAAATTTCATTACGATATCTTTAAAAATCGATTTTTTATAATTTTTTAAAAAGTGATCGAATAATATCTTAACCTCACATGTTCAAAAAACATGACAGATTTTAAAAATTGTTATCTCAAAAACTAAATCTTATTTTAAGAAACTGTCTTTTTCATTGAAAAGCTGATAATCCGTTTTATAATTGGTGATAATTTCATAACGATTTATTAAAAAATGTATTTTTGACGATTTTTTGAAAAAGATTATTAAACGTAAAAATTTAAATAATGTAACGTCACCTTTAACAATTTTTATCTCAAATACTAATTGATATTTTCAAAAGCGGTCTTTTTCATCAAAAAGCTGATACTTTTTTGTATATTTCCTGAAAATTTCATAACGATATCTTTAAAAATCGATTTTTTACGATTTTTTAAAAAGTAATCGAGAAATATCTTCATCTCAACACGTTCAAAAAACATGACAGATTTTAAAAATTGTTATCTCAAAAACTAAATCTTATTTTAAGAAACGGTCTTTTTCATTGAAAAGCTTATAATCCGTTTTATAATTGGTGATAATTTCATAACGATTTATTAAAAAATGTATTTTTGACGATTTTTTGAAAAAGATTATTAAACGTAAAAATTGAAATAATGTAACGTCACCTTTAACAATTTTTATCTCAAATACTAATTGATATTTTCCAACGCGATCTTTTTCATTAAAAAGCTGACACTTTTTTGTATATTTCCTGAAAATTTCATAACGATATCTTTAAAAATCGATTTTTTACGATTTTTTAAAAAGTAATCGAGAAATATCTTCATCTCAACACGTTCAAAAAACATGACAAATTTTAAAAATTGTTATCTCAAAAACTAAATCTTATTTTAAGAAACGGTCTTTTTCATTGAAAAGCTTATAATCCGTTTTATAATTGGTGATAATTTCATAATGATTTATTAAAAAATGTATTTTTGACGATTTTTTTAAAAAGATTGTTAAACGTAAAAATTGAAATATGTAATGTCACCTTTAACAATTTTTATCTCAAATACTAAGTGATATTTTCAAACGCGGTCTTTTTCATCAAAAAGCTGACACTTTTTTGTATATTTCTTGAAGATTTCATAACGATATCTTTAAAAATCGATTTTTTATGATTTTTTAAAAAGTGATCAAAAAATATCTTAACCTCACATGTTCAAAAAATATGACAGATTTTAAAAATTGTTATCTCAAAAACTAAATCTTATTTTAAGAAACGGTCTTTTTCATTGAAAAGCTTATAATTTGTTTTATAATTGGTGATAATTTCATAATGATTTATTAAAAAATGTATTTATGACGATTTTTTGAAAAAGATTATTAAACGTAAAAATTGAAATAATGTAACGTCATCTTTAAAAATTTTTATCTCAAATACTAAGTGATATTTTCAAAAGCGGTGTTTTTCATCAAAAAGCTGATACTTTTTTGTATATTTCCTGAAAATTTCATAACGATATCTTTAAAAATCGATTTTTTACGATTTTTTAAAAAGTGATCGCAAAATATCTTAACCTCACATGTTCAAAAAACATTTTACGATTTTTAAGATATTTACAGATTTCGGTCCTTTTCATTGAAAAGCTTATAATCGCTTATAATAAGAAGCTTATAATTGGTGTTAATTTCATAATGAGAGAGAAGTAATCTTTATTGGCTACCGATCAGGAGCTTTGAAAGCCCTGATCTTTCCACCATACAGCATTATGTAATACATTTTGATTTATTTAAATAATTTTATGTTTCTTCTTCTGTGTTGTGTGTCAGAGTTTGCTATAGGGTCCAGTTGTTTCTGTCACTTTGTCAAGCAATCGTCTATTATGTGGTTTTTTGATGAATTTTTTACTGATTTCTGCATGTCTTAGGTTAATTGGTTGTATTTTTGTTCTTACGTATAGATTCTTTGATGTATTGGCTGTGAGAATTTGACTTTAGTCTAAAACCGGTTTGCATATAGCGTTATAGATCTTCGTAGCAGTTTTCGTTGAAATGCCTTCAGCGTTCTTGTATGTTAGAGCTCTGAAATATTTTGCTCGTTTGGCAGCTTCAACTCCTTTGGATTTGAAGTGTTTGAATAGTTTTATGTTGTTGTCTAAATCTATACCCAGATATTTAATAACGTTGGAAGGTCTCACCATGTTTGTGTCAGTATTAATTTTAGGAGATCTTTCGCGGATGCGGTGGTTGAGAATCATAAGTTGGAACTTGGAGGGATTGGGTGTAAGTCTCTAACTTTTGAACTATTTTAGCGTTGTATCGTACAGCATTTGAAGGTTTTCGGTTGCTTTGTCTAGTGTGGTGTTGTGTGAGACCAATGTTGTGTCATCTGCATACTGTAGGATGTACAGTTTTGAGTCAAAGCTTTCGGGTTTTCTTCATAGATATCGTAGCAAAATATATTGTATAAAGTTGGAGACAGAGGAGATCCCTGTGGAACAACTTGCGCTGGCGAAAATGGGAAAGAGAATTTCTCTCCTACCTTTACTTGAAGTTGTCTATTTTTTAGGTACTCGTCTATGATTTTAATTAATACTATGTTTTTTCCATTTTATATAGTAAGCCCTTATGCCATACCGTGCAAAGGCTTTATTTATGTCTAAGAACAGTGCAATAGATTTTCCTTTTTGCTTGTGATTTACTTGTATGTTATTCACTAGTGTTATTAATGGATGGGCTGTAGTATTTTGTGGTTTAAATCCAAACTGGTATGTTGGTATGATTTCTTGTGTAGCTTTGAGGATTCGTTGATTAATGATACTTTTGAATATTTTGCCTATCACTGGAAGGAGGGTTATTGGTCTGTGGGTTGTGAATGGTCAGCGCCAGGTTTGAGGATTGCTATAATGGAACCATATTTCCATATTTCAGGGAATTTTCTTGACTTTAAGCAGTAGTTGGGCAAAATTTGAACTTAGCTCCGAAATAGACTATTTGAATGCGAACACTAACCTTACCCAAGATTCTTTCTCAAATTGATTGATATTTCAATAGAAAAATAACCTTACTCAACATTCCAAAATAAAATTGAATTTAATCATAAAATAAATTTCACCAATCTTGTTTTATAACAGTTATGGAACGGTTGTTGGAATTGGAGTTGGAATAACAAGAGATTGTTCAACTTTAATGGTAGCTCAATACTTCAAGAGAAAACGAGAATTCGTCGAAATTTTTATCGTTTCAGGAAGCGGATTGGGAATAGCGATTATGTCTGCTATAATAAAAACGACAATAAGGTAAATTAATCAAATTCTTTCAACAACCTTTACACATATTTTATTGAAATTTTAGTGCTTTAGGTTGGAGATTAGGTCTTCAAGTAGTAACGGGCGCAGTTTCCATAACGTTCATCTTGGGAACATTCTACCGATCGGCATCTTTATACCACCCCCAACGAAGGGCGATACTACACATAAAAAATCAAAAACGCAAAATTAAAGATAAAAACAAAATCGAAGATAAAATTCCATTCTTCGATTTTAGCACGTTAAAAAGCAAAACGGTCCGGATTTTATTGGTATCAACGGGAATTAGTGCTTTCGGTATAAACACGCCACTTTTTTATTTGGCTTATCAAGCGGAAGTTGAGGGACTCGGAGATTCGACGGTTTTCTTACAAATGTATTTAGGGATCGCTTGGACTGTTGGATGTGTTGTTTTTAGTACTTTAGTCCTTCACAATTCAACTGAATGTAGAATTGCGAGGCAATATCTTTGCCAAACTGCCGTTTTTATGTGCGGTTTATCAATTTTAGCTTTTACGGTTGTTAGTGGAAATTATCATGCTTATGTTATGTTTGCATGGATTTATGGTAAACTATTTATTCTCTATTCGACCGCTTTATGCATCACTTGACTAAGCGATAAATGAATAATTTTGAGAAAAACGGAATTTCCGTTTTCATCTCTCTAAAAATATAAGACTTCTCAGAATAGACAGGGTCAAAGTATTGAAAATTGTTTGGTGCCTGTCCATTTTTATCATAGAACACTGATGACAGCTATCACAAGCACAGAGGGCGTGTAAAAATTTCGGTTTCGGCCCTTGACCATCTACAGAGACTCTACAAATAGATTAATATCTCTCATCTTATCCATTTTACAAAGTTTCTTAATATTTCTTTTTGTTTAGTTAAAAAAGTTCACATATTAAAGTCGAAATCAGAACGCTCTTTTTTAACAAAACAAATATTAAGAAACTTAGGAAAAATTTAAGAATCATCATGTGGATTAAAAATCATTGATTTTTTCTAATCAATGTGAAATGACCCAAAAAGCACGTTAAAAATAAAAAGAAAGTGCGGAAAAGCGACTAACACTAGATTAACTTCAGTTATAAAACTTCTATTATATGATAACTAACTTCAGGTTTAAAATGCAAGAATACCTACTTAAAATTTCTATGGTGTTTATTCTTGTTGGTAAATATTAGTTGGAACGCATACTAGATTGCAATGTAATTTCTCTTTTAGAACAACATTTGTTAAAGACGGATATCAAATGACTAAAGTATTTCGAAAACAGCATAGTAGGTGAGATCCAATCATTTTCGTTAAAGCAGTA